ACAGCACTCATTCTTTGTATCAAGTAGTCCTCTCCTGTCCCGAGAGGCTGGGACACACTAGAATATTAACAAGGCACTCAAATATTAACTCATTTGATCCTTCTAACAATTGTAGGTAGGAGATATTATTATCAGCCTCATTTTACAGATAGGAAAACTGAGGCACAGAGAGGCTAAATGATGTGTCCACATACAGCTAGTAAGTGGTAGAGCTGGGATTCAAACACAGTAGTTGGCTTTAGTGTCTGCTCTTAATCACTACCCAAGCTTTCTCCCTTTCAGTCTCTAAACTATTTAGGTATTTTCCTGGATGGTAGAAGGAATGGTCAAGAGTTAAAACCTTTTTTTTTTTCTTTCAATTACAAAGTGCTGTTTTTTTTCTTTTAGTGACTAGTTAGGCTGAGAAATCTCCATTAATTTGGATCCTTGTTAGATGTGCTAAAAGTCTTCATCTTGCCTACAGAAGAGAAACATAGGCACAGTTAAAACAACATGCTATAGTTAGTATTTAAAACAAATGATTCACAATTCACTTGACTTTGCAATCTAGGGGCTAATATTAGATCCCAGTCTCTGATAGTTTCTTTGAACCTACTTAAAAATGTGTACTCTGCTGCTTGAGAGGCATCATACATATTCATGCCAGTCCTTGGGAAGGAAGGTAAGTCCACCACACCTCCCTCTGTGAAGCGAAGGGCTCAGAGCACTGTCTGCTATTGAGAAAATGAACACAAGAAGAAAAAAAAAGCCTAGAAAACTGGGCAACAACAAAAAAATCCTAATTGTGATTCACATGTCCATGGCAGCACCCTGCCCTGCTACTACAGAAGATGGTGGCCCAGGGCCATTCTTCTGGCTGCCCGTGAAAACAGGAGCACTGGGCCCAGGCACTGTCCCTGCCTGCCTACTTGACAGTTAAGCCTCTGATTCTCCATCTAAAAACTACACATTTTAGAACCCAAAAGAATGTTAGAAGCCAGTTGCTTCAACCCCTTAATTTACAGCAGAAGAAAGCTGAGGTCTGCCTTGGAGACCGTAAGCAGTGAGGCAGGGGGAAAGGAAACTGAATGTCAGTGAGGACTTGTGAGGATTTCTGCCCCATTTCAGACTGGAAGGCTCTTCCGTGTTTGGCTTAGACTTTTTTTCCATTTCCAAATTTCTCATAGTGTGTTCCACTAGTCCAAAACATAGTCACTGTTCACTTCTCCTCCAGATGCCATGTGGTTCCCAATAAACCTAACGACTACATACACTAGCTTCAAGTCATCCTGAGCTCCCCCAAACATTCCTTTTTTTCCCATTTACCCTCATTTATTTCAGGCTATGGAAAGAAGGTCATCCCCATTAGCTCGTGTAAACTGGAAAAACTCAATTATGCTAATATTGCTCCACTTATAACAAGAGCAAGCATTGGGCCAGCTCTGTTGTAAGAGCTTTACAGACATAACTCATTTAACCCTGGAAACAATCCTATGAGGTAGGTACTGTTACAATCCCATTAAAAATACAAGAAAACCAAGGAATAGAAAAGTTATGACATTCCCCACAATCGTAAGCACTGTTAGGGACCAACATGTTCCACAGTAAGTAGTTTCCTGATAACCTGTTTCTGTCTCTTTGGTGTCAAAACCACTTCATTTTGGATGAAAAGTCACAAGTCAATTGGGTCACACAGAGTTCCAAAAGTCCTGTGCTGTTCCAGGTACCCAGGCATGGAGCTCCAGGCTACTCAGGAGGAGACTGAGTCTCCCACCTGCCCGGTGCTATCTGCCATCGCTTCTCGGTACTCCCAGGGCCAGCCTCCAGACATGTGGAGGTCCTGACCACGGAGGGCCTTGCATGTCACATAAATGCTTTATTGTAAGCCAATGAGAAGACACGAAAGGCTGGAAAGTAGGAAGTGACTTGATGAACTTGGTATCTTAGAAAGATGATTATTTCTTAAGCAATATGGCGGGTTAATTTCAGGAAGCAATACCGGAGGCAGAAAACTGTATCAGGATTATTGTAATAATCCGGGTGCGAAATGACAGGATCATGAATGAAGGAGGAAGAGTGGGACAGACAGTGAAGTGCAGATGGCTTTTCTGTTGTTAAGGAGTTGCCTTCTTAGAAGTGTAGAATGTCTGTGTCAGAATAGCCCAGCATTTTTTTTTTTTTTGTCTTTTTTCGTGTCCGGCAACGGATCGCAACCCTCAGTGTCGCGCCCACACCTCGCTCAGCCAGTGAGCGGGAACCAGTCTGTATGTGGGATCCAAACCCTCCTCGGGAGCGCCACCGCGCTCCCAAGCGGCACACTATAGCAGTGCGGCACACTATAGCAGTGCGCCACCCGGCCGGCCCTCCATTGTTATTTCTAACCCATTGTGTGTTGGGAAATCAAAGCACTCAGCAATGACATTCTGAATTTTAAAAAACCTCACACACACACGTAATGAATACCTATTAGTTTTATTACTTTCTGACTTGTAATTTCATCTGTAAAAAAGTTAATTAGAAATGATGGCAGAGAGATCTTGTGGGAATTCTGGGGTACTCCACCACCAGGAAAGGGCATGGACTTTAGGACAAGGCCTTGGTGGCACCTATGCTAACTCATCAGAGACTCAGTTACCAGGCAAGGGTCTGCTGGATAATTGAGGTGTTTAGTGGCAGAGTCTCATTCACTCACATGCCCACAGGCAGAAAGAAGTGGGTCCTGCCTTTGCCAAAGAACATGCCCACAGTCACATGAAACTGACATCTGTGAGGTGTCATTGGAGAAAACAATTTTAAAAATTTGACCCAGGGATTCCCCAGACCCAGGAAGCATTTCCAGGTGGCCCAGGGCTCAGTTTCCTCTCATGAGCTGCTCAGCATGAAACCAAATCTGGGCAGATGGATGCACACTTTCCTTTATGTAAGGAGCTCAGCCTCAACCCCTGGATGGTGGAAGTGGGGATCTGCCCTCACCCAGTCATATGCTTACGTGATTCCTCTTTTGACCCAGAGCAAACATTTCTAAGGTGGTCACACTAGACCAGGAACATGACATCATTACTATGGCATGTTGGTTTGGGTTAAGAGAGAATAGGAGAAACAGAGCTATGAACTGTGGGGAAGGAGACCCACAGTTCTTCTAATCCCTCTTTTGATAAGCCAGTCCATGACCTTGAGCAAATCACTTAATCTATGTCTCAGTTTCCTCAGTAGTAAAGCAGGATCATACCACCTGCCCTACCTTTATCTGTGAGCTGCTGGATTAAATGAAGTTGACCACGGGAAGTATTATGAACTATCTATTCCCAGCAAGCCATGACAATGCCTTTCTCAGCCCTCCCACGCAGGTGCAGCTCAAGACATTGAAAAGCTGCACCTACACTGACCACAAAGCTAAGACGCCAGGTCACCATTCACTTCAGAAGCAGGATTGAAGGCGCTGGGATCTAAAACTAAGAAACCATGATCAGGAAACAAGAAGTCCCTTCTGGGGCTGGTGGTAATAACTTATCTCCCCCACCCCCTGTTTTTTGGCCACTGTCCTTCTATTAGAGATAAAAGAACACTATTGAGGCTCCCTATGGGGTACCACTAGAAGGGCAGAGCTGAACACCCACACTCCCTCCCTGGGCCACAGACCCCTGCAAAAAAGAATCCTTTAACCCCATAATTGCCTTCCCTCCCTGCGAGAGCTACTGATATTCTGAAGGTATAAGCCAAAGGTGCTCCCAACCTCAGTAGACTTTTTTCAGCACCCACCTAAAAGTTAGGCCCCAAACTTTAAAAATATTCAAAGACTTCAAATATCTAGCTGCCAGATACAGAACAAAGGCTGTGATCCCGTCAAAGTCCTAATAGGTCACTCCCACCTCCCCTTTTGGCAAGAACTTTTGGTGTCCCTCATCAGTTTTTTTCAATACAGACATCCTGGACTTTTCTTTCTTTTTGGTGCTATTTTAAATGAACAATCTCTCTCTTAAGTGGCAGACAGTCATCACATTTTCCAGAGGCAGAAATGGAAACAGCAGAAGGCAAGTCACCCGGGTTTGCTGTTTTTCACAGGATCAGCCATGAGGAACTTTGCCTCAATGACTCAAGACAAAACATACCTCCGAGGCTGGGATCCAGAATAATCAGAAACCTGGAGGGGGAGCCAGCTGGACTCCTAGCTCAGCTGAACCTGGTTACATCAGTAAGTGCCTCCAGGCTGCAGTTTTAACATCTGTGAACTTTTGGCTAATAGAGAAACCAAAAGAGGCTGAGGCTTTGGACAGTTCACAGGAACTACACACTACATCATCTCAAGGGATGAAACCCAACTAGTAAGAGTCCCAAAGAACAGGCAAAGCTAAGTGAAGATGTTTCTCCCCCTCCCCTCTACAACTCCCAGCTTCCCACAAAGAAAGTCCTTTGAAACTCATAATACTCGGCAGTGTTCCTGACTGGGTGGACAGTAACCTGTCCAAAGCCCCCAGGAGAGGCATGTTTCTGGGCAGTGGGCCCTGCACAACTAACCCCAGCCCTTTTATCCTTGTGTCCACTGACAACTGTTAAGAAAACAGAAAAGTGCCAGCTTCCTTTGCAGCCCCAGGACTGAAACAGAGAAGGCCAGAGACTGCACACAGGATGGCCCAACAGGCAAGATTTTACCAATGCTCCCAGGAGCTTTGGGGGGAAAGAGAGTGAAGATATCAGGGTGCGGTCAGAACATTTTACCAGTGAGGGTAGCCAGATGGGGCGGTCTTCCCTAACTCACAGGCCCACCTAACTGTACGACTGGTTCTTGCTAAAACATGCGGCCCTACTCCTTGAGATTGGCCGTCCACCGCCCCTGTTTGCAAAAGTGGGCTCAGCATGCAAAGACATCAGACAATATTCTTATATTTAAAAAATGTTAAAGGCCACCAGCAGACAATTAAGAATTAACTCTTAGTTGTATATGAATGTTTGTGTATATGAAGTGGAGGACATTAGAGAGCTGGCGTGTCCCATTGTGCCCTAGGCGAGGTAGAGAGCGTTACCTGGCCAGGTCGAGGAAAGAGTCCACCGTCTCTTTGGTGACCGGAGGAGGACCCGATGCCTCCAGTCCCAGGTCACTGGACTGAAGGGTCTGCGCGCCGGACCCGGGCTTTATGATGAACGCCAAAGCGACGGCGAGGGCCGAGGCACTCAGCGTGGTGAGGCCAAAGTAGGCGACGGCGATGCCGCCCAGACGCCCGAGGGAGCTGGCGTCGAGGGAGGCGGCGCCCGACACCAGGCTGCAGACCACCAGCGGCAGGATGATCATGCGCAGCATGCGGAGCAGCATCTCGCCGGGGAAAGCCAAGTAGGTGACCTGCGTGCGGCTCAGCTCGAGCCCGCGCAGCGCCGCGCCCAGGCCCGCGCCCGCCAGCACCCCGGACACCGTGAGTAGCACCAGCGCTTGGCGCCGCAAGAAGTCGGCGCAGCGCCGCGCGCGTCCCGCCGCGGTCCCGGGCGAGCCGGGCCCCTGTGCGGGCCCGGCCTGGGC